AGAGTTAAAGGTTAGCTTGATAATCCAATTTTTTATTCAGTAATTTTGTTTATTAAGAGGAATTGTTTTGTTGTAGAATTCAACCTTAAAAAAATGTGGAGATCACCGAATGGAACAATTCGTAATATCTTGAATGGCGTTGTATTTCGGTCAGCAAAACATTTTAATAGTCGAATTGAGTTCAATTCTGATTATTTATTTAGTTGAAATATTATTTTATTTTACTAGTGAGCCAATTCTAGTGAAGAGTGTTCCGCGTGTAGTTCCTAACTGGACTAAACCCATAATTATTGGAAGGCATGCATTTGGAGATCAGGTTGGTACAACACTGATCTAATACTGATCTGATTTATTTAATTATTATATTCCTGATTATATCGATTAAATCGTTAATAGTATAGAGCCACAGAAATAATTATCGATCGCCCCGGTAAACTTAAATTACTTTTCGAACCCCATGATGATTCCAACCAACAGTGTGAATTAGTACATGAGTTCTCGGTACATTTATATGTATATATATTTTTTTTTGTTAAAAAACGCGCATACATATTAATTTAAAAAATGTATATAGTCTCCTGGAGTTTCCATGGCTATGTACAACACTGATGAGGTATCTGTATTATAGATATTGCTGATAGTGTATGGAACTTCATTACATATTGATTATAAACATGATCTATTTTTAATTTTAGTCTATCACAGGTTTTGCTCATAGCAGTTTTCAAATGGCCTTGAAAGTTGAAATGCCTTTGGTAATAGATAATTATTTTCTTCGTGTTTAACATTATTAACATACGGAAATTAGTTTAACATATCTCAAATTTAGTATTTAAGTACCAAAAATACTGTTTTGAAAAAGTATGACGGACGATTCAAAGATATTTTTCAAGAAATATATGAAAGGGATTATAAGAGTAAATTTGAAGCAAAGAATATATTGTATGAACATAGACTCATAGATGACATGGTCGCTCAAGCCCTTAAATCAAGTGGTGGATTTGTATGGGCAGCCAAAAATTATGACGGGTAATGACACCAAATTTATGTTGTCTTTTTATCTTTTAAAAATGTTTAATCATAATGTTGTACCAATTTTAATACTATATACATTTCATTAGTGATGTACAGGTATGATTTAACAAGTTGAATTATTTTTGTTTGAACTGTTAATATGGCAACTTATTATTGAATAGTCCGATATTTTGGCCCAAGGTATTAACAGATTCATGAATGGTTATTTTGTTTCAACTTTACAGGACATAATAATATATAGACCACATTTTACAATATAGGATTCGGGTCATTAGGTTTAATGACCAGCGTGCTAGTTACACCCGATGGCAAAACTGTGGAAGCAGAGGCCGCTCATGGTATGGATTTTATGTAACAAATATTTAATAGTATTTAATACAAAATGTATATTTAATTGAGCTTTTGTAGGTACGGTAACAAGGCATTATCGCCAACATCAGCAAGTATGTCATAATAAATTTAATAAATTACTGTCACTATTTGCAAGTTTCAGAGCATTTCAATTCTTTTTAAATTAGGGCAAAGAAACATCTACAAATCCAATTGCGTCGATATTTGCCTGGACACGTGGTCTAGCACACAGAGCAGCATTGGATGATCATCAAGAGCTATTAAAATTTTCACAAGACTTGGAGAGAGCGTGCGTTGAAACCATAGATGTTAGCGGTAAAATGACAAAGGACCTTGCATTGACACTCCACGGCAACGAGTAAGTTATATTTTTTGTAAATGCATTTGTTTAATGCAATCTTAAATATTCATTTCTCTTATCACATCATTTAAGCCTCAAACGTGAACACTACGTCACCACTGATGAGTTTCTAGGCCATATTTCGAACAATTTGAAGCGTATACGCAATGCTTAATGCAAATTTTGTTATTTGTAATCAATTATGTATCAATTGAATTTATTAAAATGTTTGTTATTTTTTTTTTTTTTTTGAGTATCCCTGTTGTAATCACAACTAGGGGCGCAGGTGGCGCTCTTTTATTAAAATATTATA